CATTTCTTGTATCTGCTGTTGAGAATTGAAGGCATGCACTCAGCCTATACTTTTAATTTATCCAGTCCTGAGGTTGTAGATTGTTTCTAGCCTCTTGTTAAGTAGGAATAATAAATGTGTAGTAGTAGCCATTCTTGCAGACATATCTTAAAGGCAATTGGGGTAAAAAAGCCTGTCGGATAATCTCCCACGCGGGAGGTATGGTTAATCTAGGAGTTCGCACATTTTCAGGTTCTCGATAGACACTGTCGAATGCCTGTCCCTCTTGGATGGAAGTTCTTGATGTACCTCAATGTCCACCATCGGTTCAGAATAGTAAGAGAATTTTTACCACAAGAAATACATGTAATGTTAATATGATGTGACCTTAATGCCATGAGAAATTTTCAGGGGCAGATTATTGTCATTTATTTAAATTTCAATATTCAAAAATCATGTAGGCTGATTGTCCCAAGTCAACACGAAACATTCAAAAGAACATTATTCAATGTCTACTTGTGGCCTTCTTCAAGTTCGCCTCCTTCAGGTGTAACCAATTGGAAGAACATGTTGTTTCCTTTACTGTAAAACATGTATGTGCATGGTTTCACAAAATAGATCATACTGATATTATCCTATAACTTTCTTTTCATTCTCAGCTACACATATGTTAAAGCATTCTGAAGGCAATGCATACTTTTATTAGCTCCGGCCCTTTTTCAATCAGTTGTGGAGTGCTGCATGGTGTGGATGCACTGGCTGCCCCAAAAGACATTCCAACATTCTCCTACTGACAGTATTTTTAGAAGTTGGCCTACAGCCATTTTCTACTAGAAACAATACTGTAATAGGGAACATCTTACATACCACCGGTATACTGTGTGTGGTTTATACTCTGTCTTCTCTCAGATAATTATTTTGTTTTGATCCCATTTTTGTTAATATTTTACCTGGATGTATCTATCTATCATCCATGTATATCTGTGTACCTATCCCATGTCTATCCTATCCCCAATTATTAGCAGGTAAATAGTAGTTGATGTGATTTTTATTTAATTTTGTTTTTCTTTACTATATTCTACACAACCATGTATTTCTTTCAGATCAGAGATAGAATAACACACTTAAAAAGAAAGCTATGAGGTGGGGCACCTGGTGGCTCCAAATGACAATCCAACTCTTGATTTTGCTCAGGCTCATGACCCCAGGGATGTGGATTGAGCTTCCATTAGGGCCTACATAAAGTAATGCTTGGGGCTTCTCTTTGCTTCTAATATTCTCTCTTCCTCTGCCTCTCTGTCCCGCTTGCACTTTCTTCTCTCAAAATAAAAATAACAATAAATAAAATAAAAAGAAAGGAAAAAATTCTTCCTAGCATCAAGCTGAAATTTTCCTCCTGGTGTTTTGCTCATTGTTTCCAGAATAGCAACATTCAGCCCCTCGAAGTTGTCTCGATTATTGCAGTTTGAAGAGTGTTCAGTCCAAGAGCTGGTAAAAGGTGTGAGTCCCCAATCCAGCTTTTTCTCTCTTTCTTCCCCTTCTTCTCCTCCTCCTGTCCTCCTCCTCCTCCTTCTTCTTCTCCTTCTTCTGCCTGAGTGGGGAGGGTCAGAGAGTTTGCAGGCAGACACAGGCCCTGCACAACCCCTGGGATACTCTCTGAGCCAAAATCAAGAGTCTTCGATGCCTCAACCTGACTTTCACCCAGGAAAGTTCCCAGAATCCAGCTGCTCTAACTGACTTAGAGAAAAACTGGGTTTTCCCAGTCTGGATCATTCAATTTGAAGCCCCTTACTCCATTCTTTCCTTTTGTAACCCCTCTCAGAATTGTAAAGGCACCTCTTCAGCCATTCTCTTTAGAATGAGATTCTTCTGCCTCTAGCAGACAGGGATCGGGGTCTCAGCATTCTGACATTCTCTGTTGTTGGTTTTACCAGGTCACACGTCCTCTTTAAAGTATAACTCTTAGAACTGAACCCAGTTGGTGAGACAAAGCTGGACTTTCTCACACCCCTCTTTCCCCAGATTCTCCCTTCCATTAATACAGACCTCACACTGAATTAAATGTTTGCAGCCACATCTACTACAAACAGCATCAGTTCACTAGGTCCTCCCCACCTCTTGTGTGCAAAGGAGCCTCTTGACTCTCTGTGTGTGTGCAGACTCTGTTTCTTGCTTATTTTTTTCCTTTGTTAGATCTGAAACAATGTTCTTGATCTGTGAGAAGTTATCTGACTTGATTCTATACATAATAGATAATTGGCATTTTTAACGGATTTTCCAAGATCCATTCTCTTCCTATTCTAGTATCCCACCTTCCTTGAGGAAACTGCAAGCTTTTTACCCCCAGCATGGGCAGTCTTAAGGAAGGTAGTTCGCCCACTACAGTTTATGAGGGGTCCAAATCTCTTCCTGGTTGTTTCCCATGTGAACTCTCTGGTGAGATTTCTTTTGGAGATGTTGAGATTCTCCTTCAGCAGGCTCAGAGCTGGCCTGCCCTTCTCTTTCCCTCGCTTCCTCCCAGAGACTACCCATTCATCCCCGCAGTCTTGCTGGCCTGATAGCGCCCAACTTGGCACTAAAAAGACTTCCCAGCCAGCTGCCCTTGAGTGCTCTTCTCTTTTGTGATCCCCAATCTCATTGTTTCCAAAACCATTATTGGTAGGGGATTTGGAGATTCTACACAAAGGCAGGAGAGGATCCCTTTGGCCAGAGGGCCAAGATGTAAACTGACGGGAAAGGGGAGACACATGGCTGGGGGTGGAGATGCAGCACAATGGGACCACTGGGGAGCACAGGTGTGGGGGGAGTATCCTGGCTCCAAAAGGAGCTGTCAAAGCATCATCCTGGAGACTCTGGGATGGCAGATAGGTGGGGAGAGGATTCAAGTATTCGAGGTGTTAAGGCTCCATTTGGTAGAAGCACTTACCTGGGTCATGAAGACCATACACGTGTTATTTTTTTTAAGTTCTTACAAGAATCTATGGTTATTATGTTTCTCCCGCTTGGAAGCTGGCAAGTTGAAACTCACAAGAGAGCTTAAGTAATTTGTTCTGGAAGTCACACAGCACACATAAGAGACCAAGCTATAAGTCTGACTTGTATAGCAGTTTCTTATTTTTTTTTGGAAAAATGTTTTCAATGTTTATTTATTTTTGACAGAGAGAGAGAGAATAAGAGCATGAGCGGGGTAGTAAAGGGCAGAGAGAGAGAGGGAGACATATGGAGCAGGCTCAGGCTCTAGTTGTCAAAGCAGAGCTGACGGCAAGGCCAAAACTCCACAAACTGTGAGATCACATCTGAGTCAAATCGTATGCTTAACCTACTGAGCCACCCAGGCAATTTCCCCCCTTTTTTTTTTTTCTGACGCTTATTTATTTTGAGAGAGAGAAAGTGAGAGCATGTGTGTATGCATGAGTGGGGAAGGGCAGAGAGAGGAGAGACACGGAATGGAACCATGAGATCACGACCTAAGCCAAAATCAAGCATGTCGGATGCTTAATTGACTGGGAGCCATGCAGGTATGCTCTTCTAGAACCAGTGCTCTTAATACTGATGGCACTAACTTGGTCCA